TTTCCAGAATTGCAGCACTCCGAGTCCCAACCCATCTCTCTGCCAATAAAAGTAAAAGTGAGGGTGACCCTGAAGATCTAGAGATGTAAACACTCTGCAGAAAAGAAGGTCCTTTTCTGTGGAAAGTTTGTTTCTTGTTTCACAGAGAGCTGGGGGGTGGGGATGCACATCAAAGCTCACACAGATGCAGCACTGCAGCAAGGAAGAAGTAACTTCATCGAGCCCAGCACAGGCCCAGAGAGGACCTGGAAACCCATTGTCCACAAGGATAGGCCTGGCATCAGTCACCACCCGTGTCTCCTCCCCATCGGCTTCTCTTTCTATCTTTTCCTGATGAACTTTTACACCCTAATTCATGGAGGAAATAAGAATTTAAAATTTCATACTATCACCAACAACACCAGAGAGCTTGTGCTGTGCGGAGCCCTGAGCCAAAACTCATGTGCTACATCTTGTCTGTGTCCCCCAACAGACAGTGACAACCTTTCCCTCGCCAGAAGAGGAAACTGAGGCACATACCTCACATTCACAATCAGGTAGACTTGAAGACAGGCCTGTCAATGTTGGAGCCAAATCTCCTGGTCAAAATGATATAAGCTACATCTTCCTTTGGAGGGTTCTTCAAATCCTAAGATCAAGACCATTCTGTCTCCCTGCAAATTGACTGAGGTTAGCTCTATGGAGGTGGAAACTACTCTTGGAAAGCCTCAGAGAGTATATCAGTGCATGGACTTTAAACAGAAAATGACTACCAGAAACACACAGGTTTAGCTGACAATAACTTGCTTTGTGTTTCAGTTCTGCACGGTGGTCACTCTGTGGTCTCAGATTTGCTGTATCTCTCTGGGCCAGGACAACACATGGATGAAAATAACCTTCTCAGAGCTAGTATCTGTGAGTTGGCCTGCACAATCTCTGAATTAGATACCACCCCCTCCAGGACTGTTCTGTTGAAAGGCAATTAGTGATACCACCTTCTAAACAGAATAAAAGTAACTGAATAATAAATAAATCTTACCGCTCCCTGAGTGAACATCCACAGTCTAGAAAGGGGGAGTGTGTACTCACACTACAAGCAGGAGGCATCTCTCTCAATACAGCCAGGCTCCCTATATCCCCTTCCCCTTCCCACTTTTACCCACAGGACTCAAATCTAAGGCAATGCTATCTTCCTCCTCCTCAAACTTGTGCTAGACTCTGCTCTGTTGATAGATTACCATTCTATAGACAATTAATATGAACAATGGAAACCAGCAGAATTTCTTGGCAATAAAGAGGCTGAGCTGCTTCTTGCCCAGGAACAGAGGACTCTTGTGATGAAGGAGGAGAGATAGCAGACAGGAAGCTTTGTGGTCACTATTTGGTTGGCTCCAAGATAGGTGGGCCCATACCTCCAATTCCACGTGGTTTTTCACCAGCCAAGCGTCTAGTGCTACAGAGCACCTCTAGACTCAAAGGAGGAAATTTCAGCCTCAGAATAATTCCTTTTGTTGAGCTAAGCTCTGACTTCTGGTTTCCTCAGTTTCCAGTCCTGAACAAACTCACTGGCAGAGGCAACAGGTCTGGATCTCCCTTCCTCAGCTCCATAAGTAATCACTGTATAAGGCAGGAAAGGTGGTGCTTTGCTTTCCAGATGGACAGCAAAGCAAGAGCATCCCTACCCTGCCAACCCTGATGCCTAGATCTGAGAACCTGAGCCACACACTCCAGCAGATGGACCAAGGGTTCACCACCCCAGCTAACAAACAGCTTATCCTTAGAGCACAACTGGGGTCTGCCACAGTGCTTGTTCTATGCAGAGGATGATAGATGGGAATGAAAGTAATCAGTTCTGCTTCCTGTGCCCACTACACACTGTCATTCTTGCAATCTTCACCGAAATGAGCTCACTCCGCCTTTGAAATGTTCTGGAGCTTGAAAGTTTAAATCAGGCCAAGCTGATTTCGTGGGCTTTTTCAAGCTTTGCCTCCATAATTATATACAGGACTCTGTGCCACCAAATTCCTCTAAACTGTAACATTTCACATCTTTTTAAAACAAACATTGAGATTAGGTTTTTGGTTTTTTTTAGTACATGTTATGAAATAAGATATGAGCTTATGCCCAGCCTTAGGTACTTTTCTGGGGAAAGGCTGGACCAACACAAACAAAAAGGGCTACTTTTTAACTATAGTTCAGTTGTGACTACTGCTGCAACTCTACTACACAGGTATAAACCTAGCTCAAGAACAGGTCAGCTGAAACCAAAGAATGTGATTAATAAATGCCAACTAGTTATACTCCTAAAATAATGCCAACTAGTTATACTCCTAAAAGGTTCAAAGGAAAAAAACAAAATAATTCAAGAAACGCCCGAAGGTAAGATGATTTCGATGGCCCATTTCCCTTGCTTTCTCACGTCTTTAACAAAGAGCCTATTTCTCCTTGCTCTAGCTAGACATGTGCTCTTTCAAAGACAGACAAACTGGAGAACAAGAGTCACTTGTGTTATGTTAGTGAGTAAAATATTAGATATTCTATCTGCAAGTAAATAAATTCACTAAAATATGACTGTCACAGGCCATTTAATCTCATAAGCCTTAGTTTCCTTATTTTTAGACTAGAGGCAGTGCTCCAAGGATTTTCATAAGGATGAAATGAAAGATTGCAGGCATCACTGAGATCCTGACAAATAAAAAGTGCTGTGTAAATGCTTGCTTGCTAATATCATCAGATTGCTAAATATGCCTGCCTTCCCACCTAAATGCAGGAGGTACTAAGCAGTCTCCTGGTCATCAAGATCCTAGTGGTTCCCACAGAAACATACAAGGAAGAGAGAAATGGCCACACATCTGTTCTCCATTCTACCAACTCCATAGAGGTTCCTAGGGGAGGAATGAAGACTGTGCAGAGCTGGGCTGTAATCTTCTACTGGACTAAGGAAGGAACTCCATGGAAGCCTCCTGAATAACAGCTGAGTCCTATTGCTAGGGTCCCAAGAAAGAGCTTCTAACAGTACTCATTCAAGGCAGAAACCTCCAAATGTTATTTCAAGGCAGACATAAAGCCAGGTTTGGTGGGGCAGGCCTATAACCTCAGTACTCTAAAAGGCAGAAGGTCTCTCAATTTCAAGCCCAGCCGGGGCAGTTCAGCAACTTATCAAGACCTTGCTCCAAAATTTAAAAGGTGGGGGAGTGTTGAGTGCAAGGGCCCTGGTTTCAATCCCCAGTGGGAAAAAAATGTGGAAGACATAAAGAATCTACTACTCTTATGAATGTAACCAGTATTTTTCTGAAATAAATATCATCTCCTCTTGAATTACAAAAAGTATATCTTTCCACATTCACTCTTTAACTTCTATATTGCAGGATTCTTTGCGAGTCAGGCGCGGTGCCACTGAGCTAAATCCCTGGCTTGCAGGGCTCTAACATCTATTTTCTTATTATTAAGTCTCCACTTTTGAAGAAAGGCATTATTTTCCACCCAGCAATGAGTGCCAAAAAGGGAGAGTGCTGTGCAGGGAGTTTTCATAACGTTATTCAGAACACAGTGCAAAACCCAAACTATATACTTACTTAAACCTTACAAATAGAGAAAAACAATATTTTCACACGTGAGCATTTAAATATTATTTGGTCAGAATAATTCCCCTTGAAAGCAGAATAAGATGAAATAATTTGCTCACATACAGAAAATAAAAAGGACAAAGGGAGATTGTACACAGGGACACACACACACACACACACACACACACACACACACACACACACACACACACACACACACACACACACACACACACACACACACACACACACACACACACACACACACAAATTTGCAAACCAACAAATAAGTCAACATTGAAACTCAAAAACTTCATATCTCTGGGTACTTCAACAAAGATTATTAACACAGCAGCTCATAACACAGAATCTAGAGAGCCCCTCTCACTCAGCTCTTCTTGAAGGGCAGCAATATTTATCATCTCAGCAAATGTAATGCATTTTTACTATTTCTGATAATTTCCTTAGTCTTCAGAACCTGGAAATCATTGGATGCACGCATTCACCTTATGTGCCTTCCTCGTTTATCATTTCCCAACACTGACCTCATCTCTTGACATAAGAAAGTTCAGGCATTTAAACCCAGATGGCCTGGCTTTTGCCCATACACAGATGGATTTGCATCTAGTTCCACAAGGGGTATTGATCTGATAACAAGCAATCATCTATCACTTGAGGCTTTGCGTTTGACTCCCCCCAGTGTATCTCCAATAAGGTTTTACAATGACTGGCATGGAAAACACATTTCAGCAAAAACTCTGCTCTCTGAATCTATATTTCATTCCAGAAAGTCTTGTTCCCATAAATGAATCTCCCCCTAAGTGGTTACTTAACAGACTTACTAAGCACTAAGCTAAAATGATTTGAAATAAACTGTTTGAACTAAGCATTTGATGATAGCCCAGTGTTGTTCTCTTGAAAGAGTGGAATTCTCCTTTTGGATTCAGGCTCCCAAATAAAAAAGAAAGGAAGACTGTGTTGGAGAGCTGGGATATGAGGCAAGGAAACTGGAGACAAATCCAAGCTCATAGATTGTCCTCTTGTTTTTCCTTTGTGGCTATCATCTCTCCCTCTTGTCACTATCTTAACCCTGATCTTTGCACCTGAATGTTATTTTGCCCTTTTCCTGAAGAGTTCAGAAGATAAAACCAACAACAGAAAGTGTGGTCATGACAGTCATTGGCAGGAACGGTCATTGCAAGCTGTATTTTTCACTGAAACAGTGGAAGGAGTCCATCTTAAGTTTCCTTCTGCAAGGATGATGTCAAACAGAAGAATTCTCAGCCTGATGAAATGGAAATTGTCCAAACCCATGAAACTCAGATATGCACCCAAATTCAGTGCACAAACTAACGAGGAAAAGCAATTTTTAGAGATCCGGTTATGTGATAACATTTAATGGCTTCACCTCATCCAAGAAACAGTGGCTGCTACTGCCCTGCCCTGAACACTCACCAGGCACATACACATTATACATGGATTATCTGTGATGAACGGGATCTGGAGCTCCTCTCCTTCGTTTTCACATTTTGCAACAGAACCTGAAACGAAGGAATTTTAAAAATTTTAAACCTTGTTCGGTGGCTTTATTAAAAAAAATCTTCAAGTTTTGCACATACTTTTCTTGAAACACTGTCCCAAATTTCAGTAACTCTAAATGTTTTAAATCTTCAAAAGTAAATTCCCCCAAACCTATTTTAAATATTTTTATTTTTAAAGTTTTTAAAGGGAAAACTAACGTATGGATAGATTTTCTGTTCACAAATGGTTTAAGTACACTCCAAATATCTTGCTGGACCTTTAATAATGTTCCCTCCTTTGGGAAGTCATCTCAACTAGAAACACACCCTATATGAAAAAAAAATCAGATTTGCTCATCAGGGATGATTTTCCACGTGAACAGAATTCAGGCGTGTGTCCTTGCATGGAGCTTTTACAAAGACCTGCCTAAAACTGTCTGGCGATCACTTGCTGAGAGCCCACCCTCCTCTCTTGGGCACAGACTCAACAATTTCTTTTCTAAGACAGGGGTCGGTAAAGTTTGTCCTTCAGAACAGCAGCGGAGGTCTTCACCTTCAGGAACGTATGATTATTACACGCCTTGCCCCCGCCCTTTCCCACGATGCGCTTTCGCATCCACTGCAGGAACCGGCGCCTCGGAAATCGTCGCCGGCGCAGCAGACGCCTGGGGACAGGAGGCTGTGGGGACGCGGTCTTTCTTCCCTCGCACAGGAGGGGAAAGGATGAAGATGGGGCTTCTGGAAGAAAATAAGTAAATAAGGGAATCTCAGCCCCGAGGGCAGACCGCGTCTGTCACCACACCAGGCACCGGCCCGGTCCCATGACTCCCTCGAGCCACCTCCGTCCCCTCGGCCTCTGGGTCCCCTCCTCTGTCCCCTCCGTTCCCTAGTCCTGGCCGGTACCTGTCAGTAGTGACGACCCCAGGCCACTGCGAAGCCCCGAGAAGCCCAGCAGCAGCAGCGCGCCCCAGGTTGCCCAGCGCCCGAGCATCGTCACCCGAGTTCCCGCCTCGGGGCCACAAGCGGAGCGGC